ATGTGCTATGGTGCTATGCGCTTTCTGTTACCACACAGCTGCCTCCTATTAACTCAAAATTCTAGAACAAATTATTTAAACAGATAGCCAGAAAGCACTTGGAAAAGAAGGTGAGAACCCTAAGTCCCAGCACAAAGAAATAGTTACGGCAGACTAAACCCATCACCCTCTCTGATAGGGTTTCTGGTCTAGAGGATTCAGGCAAAGCTGTCGACATTCGATGTCTCAAATTCAGCATTGTGTTTAATGACATTTCCATCACTGGTGTGAACAACATGGAAATATGTGGCCAGGATGAGAGCATGGTTAGGCGAGTCATTGTACGGTGAACAAGGAAGGCTGAAGTGTGTTATCAACAGATGGGTGGTGACATGCCACAGTGCTCTGTCCTTGGCCTGGCCTTTCATATATTTGCTCACTCCTCACTCACACAAGTATTTATTGAATGGCAATGACATATGAAAAAGGCTCTATATCAGGTACAGGGGATTTGTGGAGGACAAGAAAATGTGCCCCATAGATTTCTCTTCAGAAGGGCTTCTTGCACCAGCTGCTAGGAGCGCTATTGGCAGACAGCCTTCAACGGTCAAGGCTTCAGGACCTGCGTCAGCTGCAGAAAGCCACTCCGCCCCTTCTTTGCCCACCCCTATCGGAGTCCTGACTGACATAGCGTGAAGGTCATTCATCTCAGCCAAACCCAGCACAACTCTGAAGGGTCTTTCCAGCTCAGAGTTCCCCCTGCGATCAGCTCAGGCTGCTGTTGGGCATGCAGAAAAGCTTAACTGCTCCCTCTGCATGCCCCCCGCCCCCACAGGTGCTGAGCCCGGGCTCACTCCTTAATAAACATCCTTCACACTAATCTTGGTGTTGGATTTAGCCTGCTTCACAGAAAACGTGTCGGGAAAAGGAGTGACTTTGTCCCTTGTTCATCCTCGAAACAGCACAATACAACCAAAGACAAAAGTTACACAGCATTTGGGTTTAACACTTTTCTTTCAACAATGAAACCACCTGCTTCAAAAAAGCAGTGAACTTTGTAACACAGAGGGAACACTGTTACTGCTGGAAGGGTCTGCCTCAACCAAACAAGTAGGTATTTTAATGAAACTTGTTTCTGTTCATCCTGCAGCTGGCTAGTATGCGGCATAGCATCACTGGTGTTTACAAAATAGTGATTAGAATTTTTTTTTGGCTGAGGAAGTTTAGCCCTGAGCTAACATCTGTTGCCAATCCTCCTCTTTTTTTTTTTTTTTTGCTTGAGGAAGATTCATTCTGCACTAATATCTGTGCCAATCTTCCTCTACTTTATATGTGGGATGACACCACAGCCGTGGCTGACAAGCAGTGTAGGTCCCCACCTGGGATCTGAACCCATGAACCTGGGCCACCGAAGCAGAGCACACTGAACTTAACTACTATGACACGGGGCCAGCACCTAGAAATTTTTAAAAGGAAACTTCCTAGATTCAATAGGTTCTGACAATAATTTGAAGGTAAACAGGAAAAAAAAATTCATTTCCTAACGAACTCTCAACAGCAATCTAAGAATTTTTAAGACACAGTGGCAGAAACTGTCAATGCCCACCAATATCCAATTGCTCCTTTGTTATTTAGTAACAGAACCCGGAATTTTAGCTGGTTACATGTCAATCCAGCCAAGACTACATTTCCCAGACTCCCTTTCAGCTAATATGGCCACACAACTAAATTATGGGCAGCGGGATCTGAGTGACAGTGATGTGTGCAACTTCTGAGTTAAATCCTTAAAGGAAGCCACTTTTTAATTTTCTCTTTCCTCCACCCCGAGGCTGGCACGTGGAGGTCACTGATGGTGGGAAGGCAGCAGCACCCTCGGAAAGGTGGAGCAATAACACAGAAAGTTCCTGGGTTCTTGAATGACCCCTGGTGTAGGGCTCTATTATCCATCTGAACTGCCTACCAGCTTTGACTTTCATATGGGAGAGAAGTAAACAACTTATTTTGTTTAAGCCATTACTATTTTGGTCTCTGTTGAAGTAGCTCTATCAGTATTCCAACTCGTACAGATGCCAAATCAACAACTAAAACCTGGGTGCTGTTCATTCTTTGCCCTATCAGCATGCTCTCTTCTCAGGGTAAGAACAGAAATTAACATCCTGTTCCCGGGTGTTAACCACCGCATCACCACCTCTTCTTTTCTGGTGCTCTGCTTTGTCCTGGTCCACATTATACTTTATTTCTTTATAAAAATCAAACCACAGAGAGGTCTGGACTGAAATTGTGTTTGCCTAGACAGTAGGATCATTGCCAGCAATGAAAACCCAGATTTTCTATGCTCCTGAAGCTTTGTTTTGGGGAAGGAGTAATCTTCAGATAGGTTTATATTATATACACACATAAATATATATAATTCATTCATTCATTCATCCATCCATGCAGTCATTCATTTCATTCATTTATTGAGTAATTTGACCATGAAGTGTATACCAGGAAACTATTCAAAATTTATGATAAGAGATATCAAACGAGTTACAATTCATTGATATATATTCACAGATAGATGAAAAGAACAAGTGAAAAACAACTTTATCTTAAAATTCTTCAAAAGAAATAGAAAACAGGAATCCAACATAAGCCATTGTTATAAATAGTTTACCACTTGGAATTTCCTCTTTTTCTATCAGTGTAATGATTGATGGTTTTTACCCTAAGATCCTTAGCCTGAATGAAATATTCTGACACATATAGTATTAACTGGTATGGCTCTGTTTTTCTGTTTGTGTATCTGAATTAAGTGTAGACATACAAGTTTCTGACTGTTTGGCTGGAAACCTAAAGATGCACAGAGCATTTGCCACTTTTGTCATGGCACTAACTGGATTTCAGAAGGTTTTCGTCTACTTATCTGGTTCTGGAGCTAACATACTATGTACGTCATCTGTGAAATACAGGTACACATGGGTGATCTAGAAGAGGGCAAGGGTTCTGAAGCCAAGACGACGTTTTCAGTTCCAATCTCTCTTTATACTTTCCTATATTTAGAAACATTCTTACCTTTCCCTGAAGTAGCAATAAGAGCTCACTCTCCTATACTAAACATCAAACCCCACAAATACTTAGAATCATAGGAATGGCAGAGGCAGGCTCTCACATTAGAGGGAACAAGCTGGGGATGCGGGGGTGGTGGCGGTAGGACAATCTGAAGGTCCCTTGGTTTGTGGTGTCGCTGGTATGCAGAAACAACCCGACCCCGTGATTGCTCTCTCTGGGTGTCTCCGTCTGGTTTTCACACCGCTGTCTCTAACATCTTTTCATCAGTCTTAACCACATCATGTCAACATGTTACCTTGCAAACAGGTGTTGAGAAGAGCTCAGAGTAAATGACCGCTCTTCTTGCTGCGCCCTCAGCAACACGTCTTGTTGGAGAACTATCTATCAGATGACTTGGGCGCACATATTCTCTTCGATGGAGGGAATTCCTCCTTTCCTAGAGTCAACCAGCTTTCAGCTAATATACACCATGTGTCTGGGATTGTTCTAGTAAGATTTCTTTCATGTAAATTTGTTTATGTAATCTCGTGATCTTGCATCTTACACTTACCCCCAGGTAGCTTCCAAATGCCCACTAAGTTTATTACACCCTACAGAGAAGTGGATATAAACAGGTTTCAGGCATTTAAACAGATTTTTACAATTAATTTAAAAAATGATTCAGTAAGCGAAAAATGATTTGGAAGATGTCAGCTGAAAAGTGAAAGAGAAAAATGATTTGGAAGATGTCAGCTGAAAAGTGTGCATTTAAAATGCCCCCATTACTAGAAATCACTGGTATTACAGACCACTACGTGAGTTCAAAATCTGTACCTCCCATTGCAGAAGGGAAACAAGACCAATATATTTCATGCTTTGCTTTTCAGGAAGACATCTTAAGATGGCAAATGAGTATACGATCAAAAATTACCTGAAATATCAATTGCTGTGGCTGATTACTTAGCAATCATTTTATTTGTCACTAACGGAAGTGATAAAGGCCATTATAAGCACTAAAGAAGGTGTCATTATAGATTTTATTCATCTGTGGCAGGCAAATGTTTATTCTCAAAGGATAGATGATTACAACTCCTTTAGAGGGATTGGTTGAAATATTTCCAGAAGCATCTCACAAATGGTTCAGCACTTATTAACTACCTCATTCAGGGGGAATGCTGTCGGGAGATCACATCCCTCTGAAGAAGATGCCAAGAACATATTAGCTGCTGGTTTGAGAACCTTCATCTGCTCCTCACAGCTATTTTAAGAAAACAATTGTAGCATTTATCAAACACCACAGAGAGACTGCTATAAATGTTGGAACTCAGAATTCAGCAACTAGAGAAATTTAGTAGATGGGGATTGGGAGTAGGAAGAACAAATTGTAAAAAATATTAATTTGAATAATACAAATAACACATATCTGTATTTCAGTTGCCTAAAAAATGAGAGTATTTAAGATAATTTGATAATAAAATATAATGAAGATTATGAGGTTTAGTATCTTTTTAGACTATGATCTATGAGACTAATATTTTTTTTGGAGCATGGCAATGAAAAGTTTTTTTTTTTTTTAAGAAAAGCAGTTTCTTTGGTTTTCTTCCCATGAGTTTCTATGTGTTATATTATTAAAAAGGACACTAAGATAAGCTTTAAAAAGTCACTATTAGTAAACATGTAAACTTCGTAGTGTTTTTAATCACTTTAGAAGTAAGTCCCGATAACCTTTCTATTTTTTTCTTTTAAAATACTTGCAGGAAAGCAAGTCAAAAAGAAAGGTGGTCTCATGCATTTTTACCATTCTGAAAAGCACAAGAACTGCAATATAAAAGGAGCATAACTTTCTAAAGCTAGAATGAGCTATGGAAGGCTTATATAGTTCACGAATGGTGACCACATGCAGCCTTCGGTGTCAGGAGTTGCTGATCTACTCAACGCGCATGGGCAGAACTGTCCACTCTCACCAAAGCTTGGCACGAAAAGCCACTCACCACTGGCGATGGGGAAAGGGCGATGCTGCCTATCGATGCCTTCAGCTCATCCACAGTGGCAGCGTGCTTCAGAATGTCTTTAGACTGCAGTGGCTTAATCTTGATATTAAATTTCTTGTGTGATTCTTCTTCTTCTTCCGACTCGCTCGAAGAATAAAAGTGCTTTCCTTTGGTAGGTAGAACGCAGTTAAAGATATATAACTCTTTTTTCTACTGGGAGGCAATGATGAGTGATTGCTCATAGACGCAGCCAAAGTATCCTTAGATGGCAGAATGTCAAAGCAAAACTAACAAACATAAAAAAGGAAAGCAGGCAAGGGTTAGAACGTGTTCACCTTTCCTGAGAACGTGATTAAAGGACGGTGAATTTCAAGAAGCAGTGGTTACCGCATCCTACATTTTTGCTCCAGTCGGCCATTGGGTGTGTCACACTTGGTGCACATTGTGACGGGCCCATGGGAGCTGACTGGTCTACGCAGAGAGGAAGGCCACTCTATGGACGATTTTGGATTAAGTGATTCCGAGTGCGACATGCTGTGCCCAGAGATGATTAGTAGGGAGAGGATAAGTCAGAGCTGTTTTCCAGTCACTATAAATGACACTGCTGGATCGGACAAGCCAGTCCCCACAATTTGCACAGTTGTTTTCAGCACATTTTTCTCTCCGTCCTCTCCCTCTTTTCTATGAATAGATCAAGGCAAAACGCCTGCTTGTTAGTGATCAGGCTGTTCTCTGTGCTGTTTATTTATCTCTAATACTAAGGACAACAGGACTTGAGAAACTTGGGTAATTTCAGCACCTGTTTAAAACCTGAATTGATCATACTGTTTTCTGGGAGAAAATAAAAATTAAAAAAGTAAAGAAAGGATATATCCGGGTTCCTCAGGTCTGATGCTGTAGCCTTCTTCATCCAGCTCAGGCGAGTTCTATAAAATGCAAGTGCACATCAAGCAATTACTGTCCTGACAATGATCAAGGAATTATTCATTTTCCTTTTACTTACGGATACAGACATGTCTCTTATTTCAGGAGGCTAGGATCTTACCCTTTAGAAATGATGGCTGAACAGTATCTGTTTAGTTATTTACTTAAAGATGCTTGGAGAGTCTTCCTACTGGGAAAATAAACTAGAAATCAACTGTCAATGAAAGAAAACATTCAAAGAGAATTTATCATGCATTTCTGGTAAGCAACACAGGGGGATACAAAATGAGAACTGTTTGTCCTCAGGAAAATTGAAATGTATTTTGGAAGGCAAAAAAAAAAAAAAAAAGAATACAAAACATAAAACATCAGTGACAGAAGTTTGAAGGAAGAGGAAGTTAGTGAAAGAATGGGGGTGGGGGCTGTGCCCTTTAGGGCAGATGGGGAGGACAGAGAGGAACCGGTGGGGGGAAGGAGCCTGCCCTGAGACCAAGGCAGGAAGGCACAGTATGACTCAGATGGGCAGAGGACAGGGAAAAGCAAAGATGACATGACTGGAAAGGAAGCCGTATGGTGGGAGACCACGGGAAATAAGACCATGGGTGCCACCATGCTGGGGGAAGAGTTTATACATGATATAGCTCCTGCAGCTTCTCAGTTAGCACAGCACATGCTGAAAGCAGAATCTTAAAGTGTTTTGGAAGTGTGCTTCAGGATAGATTGGGAGCAGAAGAAACTGGAGGAAAGAAAACTCATTCAAATACTTGCACCAATTCAGGGAAGATTGCTAAGAATAAGGACTAAGTTGTTGGTGGTGGGAAGGGATGAGTCAAGGACATTTGGAAGGACAAACTGTTCGTTCTTGGTAACAGATCAGTCACAGGAGAAAAAGGAGCAGGAAGGTTCAAGAAGACTCCAAGATTTCCACCCTCCAATCCTGGGAGTACTCCTGTCTGAACTAATTGTAACAGCAGACAACCAACACTTTTAGGAAAGAGACAGTTTGCATGATTGGGATTAGCATTATATTTGAGTTCCTCTTATACGGTCAGTATTGTGACCCACACTTCATTTCACTGAACCTTCCTAACAATCTAATGTGGAAAGAATTATCCCTCCACCCAGGAGGAAACTGAGAGAAATCGGATGTCACACTCAGCAAATGGCAGACCTGGGCCTTGACCTCAGGCATTTGAGACTATCTTCTCTGCCTTAGAGGGGAGGAAGCTGAAGAGAGCAAGGGCTGGCCCTCCTGAAGTCGAGGTTATAGGCCTGGAGGTGGAGAGGACAGAGCTGGACAGAGATTTTGGAGTCACTGATGCAATAAAAGTTCCATGATGATGGAGAGAGAAGGGGGCCACAGAAAAGCCTCCATTTATTGAGCATTTACAGTGGTCCCCCTCATCACTCAAAGTTACTTTTTTTTTTTTTTGAATGCAAGTGTATTGAGGTCACTTCCCTGATAAAAACCTGTCCCTGGCTTCTCACTGTATTTAGAACAAAAGCCCAGGGCTTCTGCCTCCTGCAGCCACAGGGCCTTGCGGGACCTGGCTTGGGGGCTCTCTAGCCTCAGGCTTCAAATCCTCTTCCCCATCCGCCTCAGCCCCATGGCCTTCTTCCCATTGTTAACCGTTATGATTTGAAAGCCACAGCTTTTTCCCATTTCAGGGTCCTCATAAATGCCATGCTCTCTGTCAGGAATTCTCTTCCCTCAAATGTTTAGCCAGTTAACTCCCACTCATATTTTAGGGCCTTCCTTAAAGGTCGCATCCTCCCTGAGGCCTGCCCTGCTCTTTCCCGCCAAGAGTGAGGGTATAACCTATGGGGAATAGAATCCTTCGAGAAAGCAGTGTCTAATGTAAAATTGCAGCAGCAGTGCCTATGTGACCTGACTGCTTTTAGGACTAACCAAATTGGAGGGTAGCTATGCTTCATTTGAACTCTCACGTGTTGACTGGGACAGCTCTAGACTTTAGGGTTTTGTGCTAGATGCGGTGGGGGTGGGGGTGGGGTGGGGTGGGGTGGGGTGGGGTGGATGTAGTACCTGATGAGGAATTTGGTATTTTAATTATCATACTCTTTGTTTGTTTAGAATAGCCCATTCTTACATACTAAGAAATCCTACAAAATATAACAAAAGTCTTTCTGGGTAAAAAAGAATTAATTTTGGGAAAAGAACTCACCCTTTCTTAACATCTAGTGGCTTCCCTTACAACATTATTTGTGAACAATTTGGATTTAGGGTAACATTGGAGCTGTCATAGATTTCAGAGAGTCGAACTGCTAAAAGTATCAAAAAGATCTCAATCCTGGGAAACAGATATGAGAGGCCCAGGTGACAAGGTGGCATGTTTTAGGGTGTGGGGGTGGGAAGCATGAAGAATTTAACCCTCAGTTTTCCTTTCTTTAAAATGCAAATGATATAGTCTTTGCTTCTTAATGTGGTAAGGATTCCATAGCATTCAATATTATGACTGACAAATAGTGAATTTTCAATAAATGGTAGCATTATTATAAAAATAAAATTTTTGTCATTAACCAATATGCAAAAGCTTTAACATCAAGCTTAACTTTATGAAAGAGGAGGTTGGGTCAGGATGGTCCTCTAAAGGACACGTGCAGAAGCACTGTGCAGGGACTGCATCTGGGCACCTTACTATGCAGTAGAAACGATCTTTGGTGTGAACGTGGCCTACATGTCTTAGATGATTAGAGATCCAAGAGTGATTGTGGCAGTCCTGTGTGTGTTCATGATGTCAATCAGTTTCTGGGGGAATTATAAGGAGAGTTGAGGTCTCAGCTGAGATTCATCTCACTCCTTGAGAAGAATAAGGGATTGTCACTTGACCTGGGAAAAATCTGTACCACGGGGCTATAATTATGTGCTGTGGTCTGAATGTTTGTGTCTCCCTAAAATTCATATGTTGAAATCCTCACACCAAGGTGACAGTGTTAGGAGGTGGGGCCTTTGGGAAGTGATTAGGTCACAATGGAAGAACCCTCGTAATTGGGATTAGTGAGACCCCAGTGAGGTTACAGCTAGACGGTGTCATCTACAAACCAGAAAGTGGGCCCTCAACCAGACACACACTGGATACCAAATGTGGGGAGACCATGATCATGGACTTCCTAACCTACAGAACTGTCAGAAATAAATGTTTGTTGTTTATAAGCCACTCAGTTTATGGTATTCTTGTTATAGCAACCCAAACAGAATAAGCTATTATGAAACCAAAGCCCAGGGGTCCATTGACTTGCCTTGATTCTAAAAGCTGCTTAGAAATAGAACCAGGACTGAAACATCTGGAATTAATATCATAAAAAAGCATTTTTGAACACATATTAAAGGCTAGGAAGGCTACTGAAATATTCTGCAAATAATTAGCTCATCGAATACTTGCAACAATGCTATAAAAACTTCATGTCTGCTGGCCAGCAAATAACACTCCCAAAGCCACACCCAGCTGATGCGTGGACAGGCTAGGTCTTGAACCCAGATCTAAGAGTCTCTCACGCTTAACCTCTGTGCCAACCTGATGGTGTCAGGCACTTCCTAATGAGATGGAGAATGTTTCACTTATTTCTAGGTCCTATTATAAATACTAGCATGCCTCAACTTATTTTCAAGTTGTGGGATACTTAATAAAGAAAAACAATCTTGTGATACTCACATATCTTTCCCAATCAATTTCCGCATAAAATCCATTTGGTGCCCCATTGCTTTTCTTCTGTAATAAATTTGAAAATACATTTAGAAGAGAAATATTTGAATGAAAAAAACCCAAGGAAAAAAGAGCGCTCCACTCTTATCTGTATTTAGCAAGAGCTATCAAAATCCAGCACTGGAAAAACAAATTGGAGCAGCCTCTTAAGCAACCACATTGGCGTAACTGAGTGGTAAATGGAGCTGCCGTGACGCTGCATACAAGAGCTCGCATACCTATTTCACAAAAGACTGTAGGATACCTAAGCACAGGGATATTCAATAGAGGTTCAAATTTTACTCAATTACTGAAGAATTAGAAACACCTACATTATAATGTAACCCTCTATAACTTCAGGGGATGTAACTATATATATATATATATATATATATATATATATATATATATATATTTAAATGGAAACATTTTGACTTCTGTGTTGCTCTCACATACAATTAGTTCTACACATCCAAAGAGTATTCATCCTAGTCATTGTGTAATCTTGTAGGTTTTCTAATACTGACTCAACTTTTTCCTAATCCTCCCCCACTTGATAGAATATAACGGAAATCAGCTCCAAATTAGTTAATTGAGCTCCTAGGTATTACAAATACTATTGATATTCTTTTCAAGTGGCTTCTCTTATCAAATTATTAAAATAGAACTCAAGGATTAATCAAGGATTTCTGTCACTTGTGTGTCCTATGCCTTCACGAGCACATACCAGTGCAAGATGACTGGATCTCAGCATTGCTCTCTCTGGATTATTTTAAACTTCTATTTTGGTTCCTAGTACAATCAATGATATATGGCCAAAAGCACTTGAGCAAGGATGTGGTATCATCCAAATAGAAATTGCTAGGGTTCTCTACTTTTTGTGAGCAAAGGACAAAAACACACATCACATTGGTCATGGAGAGCCCGTTCAACAACGATCCTGTACGTAGCACGCAGAGCGATGTACGCCACTGAGCGCTGGCAGATCGCAGAACAACACACACCAAATGGGGAAGCACAAGACCTCTAACTTTACAATCACTAATAAAGGCCACTTGGACTGCAACGTGGACAGCTAACACCTAACTTGACAAATAGGAGAAGTAAGCTTTTCGTGTATGCATATCACTAGAAAACCAAATTAGAGGTTACCTAGTAACCATCAGCTTTGATTAATCCCTGCTGAATGTTGACTGGGCATTCTAAGAAGCAGCAGCAGTTTAGGGCGAGCCGTGCATGAGGACTAGATCCTGTGTTCATGCTGTCTCTCTTCCTATGCCCTACCACTGCACTGAACATGCCAACACAAGAGCTCTGCCGTGCCTCCACAGACTGGCACCCAGGAACATGGGCCCCGGCCCCACCTTCCTCTTTGTTCTGCTCCCAACACAGATTATATACATTGTCAGACTACATCACTTTAGCCGTCTCACAGAGTAGCCTTCATTGAATTAGTGCTCAGTAATACTCTTTCTACCTGGAACAAAGCTCATTTTAAAAGCCTGCCACGTCAACTCTGCACCTGTGTAAGCTATGAAGTTGAGGACATGGTCCATTAAATAATGTGCCACCTAATAATAAAAAATCTCTCGCATGGGGCATGGGCATGGGTCCTATTTTCTTCTTGCCATATTTGCTTTCTTTTTAATTCCTGCGTTACCACTCTGTTTGCATATGTCTTCTTTGTGAAATTCTCCTAATCCTTCTTCGAAAGTGAGTATAATAAATTCAGTATACAAATTTAATTTATAATAATGGGAAATCAAATGAACTAAGTTGATTCCAAAGAACTAAACTCATGAATTTTGTGATCAGTACGCTCTACTATTAATAAACCCTTTAGTTCTTAAACAATTCCTCAATACAAGAACTGTTATCCAAAAACCAGAGAGTAGGGAAATTACTGAGTTCGAGATTTTCAAAGTTCTACACTTTGCTTCCACGATAATCTCATCTCCATAACTAAAGCCCTTCACAACAAAGATAATGTATACGTTCCGCTGAACGAATATATGTGCGTGTATTTCTTTCCTGACAACATATATCCAACATTATGGATAAAAGAGTTCCTGAATTTTCCAAATCTGGGCTGAGTGAAAATTTCCCAGTTTCCGTGGAAACCAATGGAAGATTGAGATGAAGAGAAAGCAAAACCTAGAACCAATTTTTTTCTTTTAAACTAGGAACATTTTAAATACAAATGCTAAACACAAACAACAAACAATAACAATACATTCTTTTGGGGCAGATATTCAACAGACAGACACATACAAGTATACACACATACATGGCTTTATTAGAGGAATTGGCAATTTGGCCTCATTCATGCCAGTGAATTCTTACAAATATATTTGGTTTTACAAGTGGAAATTCTCAAGTTAAAGCTAGGTCAGGGCCTGGCTGAAGCTCTTCTGGTCAAACCCCAAGAAAAAAACAATTCTCCTGGTTGAACCGCTTAAGCAAAGTACAGCTCAGAATGGTGACAGTGACGGCAATGGCTCTGCAGATTTTCAACCGGAAAACGATGAAGAAGCAAGGAAGAATATAAGTCAAGTGGGGAAATATCATTTAAAAACTAAACTTAATAGTAAAGCAATATTGGCTCTTCATTAACACATAAACAGTGTTTTTTTTTTTCTTGGAGTTGGAGTTATCTATTCCCTGACTTTTCTTTTTAAAAATCCTACAAACTAGTAAAAGCAACTTTTATAACTTGAATATGACTGTTATTTAAAGATAATTGAGGCTCCCAGCAATATTAATTACGTTTTAAAGGTATTTGCTTTGGTCAGGCTTATTGCCTCCTCTCAGATGATATGAAGGGCTAAATCAATAACTGTAGGAACAATTGTGTTCAATTATACATTCTCGAAGTTCTCAGTTTCGACTGTGAATGCTCCTCTTTCCCACAGTCAGTTCATGGCCATGTAGTGTTCCTCGGGCGAGAAGTGTTAAAGACACATGGGTGGGGCCAGCCCGGTGGCGCAGCGGTTAAGTTCCCACGTTCCGCTTCTCGGCAGCCCGGGGTTCGCCGGTTCGGATCCTGGGTGCGGACATGGCACCACCCGGCACACCATGCTGTGGCAAGCGTCCCACATATAAAGTAGAGGAAGATGGGCACGGATGTTAGCTCAGGGCCAGGCTTCCTCAGCAAAAAAGAGGAGGAATGGCAGTAGTTAGCTCAGGGCTAATCTTCCTCAAAAAAAAAAAAAAAAGACACATGGTGTACTGCGTAAATGTTATCTTTTTGTCACTGATTTAAACTTGACTCACTTTGTAAATAATCCTATGGACTATCACTATCCAATAGAATTGTCTGTGAAGATGGAAGTGTTCTGTATGTGCACTGTCCAATATGGTAGCCACTAGTCACAAGGAGCTGTGGCGTACCTGAAATGTGGCAAGTGTGACTGACGAACTGATTTGTAAACAGCCACATGTGGCTACCATATTGGACAATACAGCTATAGTTGTTGCACAGTCTGGGCTGCAATCAGCACCCCTGACTTGACATCATTTGGTCCACCACATTGGTTCCCACAGGCCAGGTCCTGCCAAATTCCAGATGTTACTGAGATAGTGCTTATCCTAACAAATGACTATTCAATTTGTGTCGTGATGTTTACATTATAGCCAAGCCTTTCTTGTACATAGCAGATTCTTTTAAAAATCTGAATTCCTGTCCTTTGTCTAAGATAAAGAAAATGCACATCTTTTCCGCCTGATCACTCTTTAAAAGTATATTTGGACTTCAATATAAGTCTATACGGTTGATTTAAAAATTGGCCTCAGGTAAAAGTAATTTGGAAATATCTAAGAAAGAGTCTTCTTAAACGAAAAAAAATAAATGCTACTGTTTTTTCCAAATTTCAAATTGGGATTTTACTCACTGTTTCTACAACCCCTTGGAAATTTTAAACTAAAATCTGTTTCCTTACCGAAACTTTTTTTCCTCCTTCACGAGCACACTCTGCCTTGTTACTGTAGGGTGGTTCATGTGGGCTGGGCTGCTGGAATTGATTGTTTTCATGTAGAAAAAAGTTGTTAAAGGATCTGTTTGTTCTTCAAGACACATATAAAGAATCACACGGAGTCAGCAAACATACCATAGGAGAAACAATTTCTAAGCCAAATCGTAGGGCCTACCAATCTTGGCAGGGTTCCTTAAGCAAAGAGTGGACTTTGGGGCCCATAATGAGGCTCTATTCAGCAGGCCAGCATGGCTAGGCCAGGAGAAGAAGGGAGAAGGAGGAAGACACATCCCAGGCACTAAGAATTATGTGATCTGGTTCTCATTCAGCCAGCACTTAATTTACAAGTAGAGAACAGACACCAGGACACATTAAAAGAGACTGAATAACAATCGTTCTATTTCTAATCTGAGTATGAAAAGTCTACCTCCACCATATTTTCCCCTGGATCAAACCTTCCAGAGGGTCATCCATACATACAGCACCCACAGCTGACATCTCCACATCTGGGCCCTTTCCAGCACACATGTTCAGGACGAGCAGAGGTTGCTTCACAGAAACGGCTGGGATCCCCAGAGCCCCTCGTCTACATGTGGATGGAAATCTGAACTGTTTAGGAAAAGGTTAGAGTGTATCCTGCACAAAGCAGTTTTGTCTCTGGGTTAGAAAGCGTCGTCACACACAGCTGCCTGAAGTCCTGGACATCATGACAGACAGCTCTGCTGGGGACGGGTGCGTTCAGCCAGTGAGGGGCAAGGCGAGCCCCCCTTCACACTGCAGCTCGGCCACGAAGCCTCTGTAGACTAACCCTCAAAAGCACTGTTGCCAGAGATGGGCTTCCCTGGCTTTTGGGAAAGTGAAAATTAAATAAGCATCAGTATGTTAAACCTATTGTGTAGCCCCGTGTTGACAAAGTCGTTTATAAGCACAAAGCAGGTGCACCACCACCTGTAGTTTGTGGAATCGCATTACTGAAACCATAAATTTCAACCTTAGACTTTCCGAAGGCAATAATTTGGACGCTACATCAGCTGGGTAAATGTGGGCTGGGTCCACAGACACAAGGTCTTAAAGAAATCAGTCTAAGTTTGAAAGAAAATCAGGTTGAGACCTCCCCTGTAGCACTGGGATGATGATAAGTTCTCCAAATCCGGTGGCCACGGTGAGTGGGGGAACTTGGAGAACATTTCCAAATGGTAAAACTGGCAGCTGGCTAATAACTTCCAATTACCTCAGAAGCTGTACCCTGTTTCTGAGAAAATGCATTTATTTTGAATGTAGCCTTTCTTAAACATGTCTGCATTATTTCCTGAGAAATCAAAATTAAATAATTCCTCTTTCCTACTAATCATCACCATGATATTTATTGCATTTCCAATTAAGTAGCAAAGAGGGTGAAACTGCTAATTAATAGCTTTATATGACTTGGCATGGTGGAGGTACAGGAGGACTGGGGCAACTCAGGTATGAAGCCCCAACCCAGGGGGGACGGGCCCGCAGAATCACGGCTGGGCTCATTAATGCAGCACATACTCATAGCTGCCTGCTACATGCCATGTGCTGCACCAGACACCAGGTGCACGTTCCACCAGAGACCTTAACTGGTGGTTCTTAGAAGAGCAGAGAACACTGAGGCAGCACTGGAGCCTCAGAGGCAACGAACTGGGGGAGACAGGAGCTTTAGAGAAAGAAAAAAGGACAAGACTGAGGGAGGCAGAGGGAGAGAAGCAAGAAATAGCGCTCCAGCCTGGGAACAGCAGGGAGAGAAAGCAGAGAACAGCTGACAGAGCCTTGCAAAGCTCAGAACAGAGGGATGAGAGAACCCAGGAAGGGGACGGAGACAGAAGCAGAGAGAAGACACAGAAGCAGAGAGTACCTGAAACAGGGTTAACGAGAGGGCTCTGAGCCAGAAGCAAGAGGTGAGAAGAAGCTGGGTCTTCTGGGTCTTTTTTTTCCCCTGCTGAATAGAGCCTTGATTATAGTGTTACCCAATGTCTGATCAATTTCAGTCTATTTTCTTAACATTTCATGGCGAGAACTACATGAATGCAAAAGGCACCCCAAAGCTAAGAACCTTAAGTCAAATGTGGGAGAAAAACTCCTACTATAGTTGCAATTAACACCCCAATTCTGGTATAATATTATAACGGGTGATTTTTCAAAAAAATATTTTTAACCACTAGATTTATTTTAGTTCCCACTCCAGCCCAATGAGCCTAATGTGAGTCCATTTTTTTTTTCAGTAACAGCTGTTCTTTTGAACCTGCTGAATAGGCAACTGATTTATATTTGAAGGAATCATTTTAGCAGTGGGTGCAGACTCCCACAAGCACAACTCGGCTCAATGCGAGCCCGTGCACCACGGACTTCTTTAAAAAGCAAGAAACCTGGTGACCAGCAAGGAGTCAGAGTTACTATTAAATCTAAACCCAATGGACACGTTTTCCTCCTTCAGGCTGTAAATTCAGGCATAAGTGGTTTCAAGACCATTCCCTACTTGTGAATTTAATAGAGAAAATGGATCTGTAGCTCAACTATGCAAGGGGAAAAGCTTCTTTCAATTTATTGGATCTCAGCTCCATTATGACTTTGTGGCCTCCGTTGGAGAAAAACATTCTCACATAACGAGCTTTTATATCATTAAATTGGAAATGAAATAACGGTTGATGGTAGCAGCCCCTGCAGGAGCTGTCTGGCTCTTGACCCACTATATTGACTGGTTTGCTTGCCTACTCAGGGGCGGGGTTTCAGGTGAATACAACAAATGAGTTGAATTTGACCAAGATTGCATTTATGTCCCATGCAATTACTACAGAAAATTACAACAGTCAGAGGTCTGAAAAGTCATTTACGCTATTTTTTCCCCTACAGAATAAAAGAAAAAGAAATGGGGCTTTAATAAACTTAAACATAGCATATATTGAAGTGAAAGCCTACTAAAAATGGTCATTTAAATACTTACAATTCCATCTCTGTCTGGTGAACCTCTGTAACAAAAAGAAATTGGCAGCTGTTAGGAAAATGAACCATTCTTGCTACATAAAGTACAACAAGAAGAATCATCAAGCACCCCCCCTCCGATCTCCCACATTCCCGGCCCAGGAAGCCTGGCAAATGAAGATGAAATCAAAACAAGTTGGTTGAGTGATTGCTGAGTGTGGGGTGTGTGCATGTGTGTGTGGGAGATTCTCATTAAAAACTAAAGTCCAAAAGGCACAAGTTGCTAGTACAGTAGTGTTTTGGCCCACTTTTGAGAGGCGAATTCGTTAAGAGTCTGTCCCAGCCTCGCTGGCCCCATTTAAAAAGACCACAAGGAATGTAAACCGATTTGCTGTCTCTCATCTTTTCTCCTGTGCGTGGTCTTGAATTTCCCCCATAGGAAAGAACTTCTGCGGTATTTTTCAACTTACTTTGAGAATCTATATTTTCTTCCATATTTCTATATTTACAGCTCCTTTGATTATAGGGGAGCAGGAAATGAGAGGAGGGCAATGTTTTGCTAAATGGCTCACTCTGATGACTAAGTCCAGGGAAGCTAGTTGATGGTAGCACTACGGAGCAGTGCTTAGGAGCAAAGCTTGAGAGTAGGAAGAATTTGGGTGTCCAGATTCTGTGACCTTGAATACATTTCTCAACCTCTCTAAGCCAGGTTAAATAAGACAATGTATATAAAGAACTTATAATTGTTCCTGACACACATTAAGTATTAGCATATGTTTATTTGTTAGAATTTTTTTTCCTCCTCCTTGTCGTCTCTTTAAAAGGAATACAAAGCTGCCCACCTGCTGTGACATTAGACTTTATATCAATACAGGAAGGATATTATTATTTTTACTTTGGAAAACTGGAGGAGCCAGAGGAAGGGAGAAGCAAGAGGGTAGTTCCTGCAACTTTATAACTTCTTGTTTCAATTCACCCTGTAAGGAACTAGAAAATGTTATTCTATTAACACAGAGACCAGAATTATGCTTCGATGGGGATCTGCACTTTCAATCAGAGAAACTAATTGTACATGGCAGCACTGGTGTCCTATTCTGATCCTCCATCTTATCCTTTGATGAAAATGGGGCTGGTGCTTCCTATGACGGTGGCAGCAGGCACTGCAGCTACGAGCGCCGGCTCAGGCGCCACACTGCCTGGGTTCACTCAACTTAGATCTCCTGCTGCCTAACCTTGGGTGAGTCACTGCACCCTTTTGTGTCTCAGTTTCCTCATCTACAAAGTAGCTACGACAATGACATGTGCCCCAGAGGGCTATTAGAGGATTCAGCGAGTTAACGTAAGTGAAGAGCCTGGAATGGTGCCTAGAATATAGTAAATACTAGAATTCGTATTCTAGATAGAATTATCTAGAATAGTAATTATTATATAATCTGACCTAAGATGAGGAGTAGAGAGAGTTTAGAGCCTAAGACACTGGGGCATGTGTTCTCAATTCATTTCCTAATCCTTTCTTGTCAAGTTTTATATTTTATTTTAAAACAATTTTTTTCTTTTTAACCACAGACTTCTATTTTAAAACTAATCATCTACCACAGATCCTTTCCTCTATTTGAAAAGCGTCAGTTACGTCTTGCAATTACTGCCTTTTCTCTTCCCCTCCTCTTGGTCTTGAGTATAATTTTCCCATCTCTTCTTGCTCTTCTGGGTGATAAAAGAAGAGGCACCTGATTCCGGACTAGAATACTGGCTCCAAGTCTTATTTTCTGGGTAGCCTTCAGCAAGTTACTTAATTCCTTTTGGCACTGATTTTTCATCTCTAAAATTGAGATATTTCTCCTAACCTTATTAAACTTCTGTGAGGCTTACAAAGGATAGCAGCGCCCACACAGTACGCTGCCCAAGGCCTGCCACTTAGCATAGGCTTTCTCCTTTCTTCTCTCTCTCAGCCACTGACATGATGATCGAATCAGGAAGCTCTGTCCTAACCCCACTGTCTATCTCAGGAGGTTCCAGCAGCTGAAGCTGGAGCTGGCGGCCACCCTAGCAGGTTGCCTGGCAACCCTCACAGAGTTGCAACAGCCCTGAAAACAGTTTGCAGCAACAAGGTTTCAGTGATAGCAGACTAACATCAGCATCACCTAAAGCTCAAGGGACAGCGAACGGCCAGAGCCTTTTCCCAGCCTTTTGGAAGAATGATACCTGACCCAATTAGAGAGCATGGGTTCAGGAAAAGCAAAGGCTTAACGCTAAATGGCTTGTCCTTTGACCATCGCTGCTGGTGGAACCAGTTTATGGCTAATTTGCTAAGTAATCTGGGGTACTCAAATGATAAGAAGTTCAGGAGAGACCCCTGGGATTTTACAAGCAAACATCTCGTTAGAATACTTCAGAAATATTGGGCATCTATGCAAAGCCCTAAGGAATACCTTCCTTATTTCCAAACCTTTGGAAATGGTGATGGCAGAGCACTGCTTTGGCCACATGCAAATCAGCTCAGCCTGCCCTGGGGAGGTTGTGTGACCTCTTTTCCCTTTCGAGGGAGGTTTTTTCTCCTTTTTAACTTTCTCCACACACCAGAGATTATGCACAGTCAGTCACAGACACTGTCTTCAAAGAAAAATGGATTTGGTTTCTGCTAAGGATTTTTTCCTGAGATGTGTCTGATGGTGTCCCACACAGCACACGGCACATTGTAGGTGACAACAGATGTTGCCGGCAGACAGACTAGTCGGGTGTCTGGCCTTTAGGGAAATCAGATTTCCATCTAGTGTAAACTGAGGCCCAGAATGGGAAAAAGTAATCCCCAAGGCGTGGAGCTATTGGCAACGTGGGACGAGGGCCCAGTCCTCTAACCATCACCTGTTCTGGGGCTTAATGCTCAGAAAATGGCAATTTCTTAAGAGACAATGGAAATTATGTAACCCTCAGAAAAATATTCCTAATTCAATCATTTAGAAAAATTTGCAAGACTAGAGTAAATGTAATTTCCATGAAATAATTATTTACCAAAAGAAAAAGCACAAAGGGAAGAACAAGGGACTTCACATTTGATATCTAGACATAAAATAGGTTCTCCACCCTGAATCCTTTACTGCCTCTAGTTTAAAAGTGTTCAAGGCTGCCAGCTGCCTAAGGCCGGAAGCCCAGACATCTCTGCCTGGACTGAAAGCCCTTCCTATCTGGCCCTGAGCTCCTTTCCAGCCTTGCCTCCCACTATCACCTCTACCTGTGGGACAGGGAGACAAACTGCCCTACTTGTCTTGTCCTGAACACTCCGTGACCTGTTGGCCTCTCGCTTTAGCTGGTGCTCCCTCTGCATGAGATGCATGTCCTCAGCTTCTTGAAGGCCAGACTCAAGCCTCCGCCCTCCCTGGAACTTCTCTGATCAGCTGCCCAAAGATGAGCTTTCTCACTCTCAAATTCCCATGGAATTCCATTTTTAATAGCTCATAAGGAACTTATCACACACTAATTTCTATCAGTAATAATAAGAGTAGTAGCTGCTGTCATGTACTGAGTATTTATTAAGTACTAGGTACCATAGTAGGCATTTCAAATAGGTTATCTCATTTTACTTACATGAAAGATATTTCAATTTGTGGGATAGACAGATATTTTATCCCATGAATTATAAATTCTTAGAGGACAAGAACACAGAGCAATGCTCAACACCTTGTGAAAATTTATGCATGATAAAAAGGTGCAGAATGAAAAGCTAAAGGTGAGAAATAAATGGAGCCCTCTTCCTTTTCACCTGTGCCCAAACAACTATTAATTTCCCCACTCTAACTTTCTTCCAGGGATTCTAGCCAAATAATGGGTTTAGTGGGCTCGTTATTCTGAAATTCAGCAGACCATGCCCATCTGCATTTCTGCATGCTCACAACCAGCGCAGCTGAGCAGGGCGCTCTCCTAAAGCACTTACGTGGAATCAGTGTCCTTTTCTTTCTTCCGTATTCCAAAGGCCTTCCTTGTACGTTTTTTCAATCCTGTGGGAAAACAACAAAGGGTTAAAGAAATCATTTTTCTCTTTGAATGTTCCTAGCAACATTCAAGTGAACATGTTTTTTAAAGTTGCAACACACCAGTTAAATTTTAACGTTCAAAAAGCAATGAAAGTTTCTTCATTTGTTTGTGTGTGTGTGTAGGCACGTGCGTAAGAATCATTATTGTATTTTTCAACAGATATTTATCAAGAACTCGGCCCTGTAAGTTCCTAGCACTATAAGCAACATAAGAATAAAAAAGAAAGCAAAGGAGATCCGGGGAAGGTACAGAAAAGATTGCAAGTTTTTCTTAGACTATTGTTAGTCATCTCTCAAATTGTTGCTCTGCCAAGAAACCAGACCAAAGATTTAGAAAAACAACAATTTCCAGGTTAGACACATTCGTGAGACTGGGATAATTCCAAGACACAGATTACGTAAACCATACCAAGAGAGCTACACTGACCTGTCCCATCGTTGTATCTCATACTCCCATCTCATCTTTTCTACTTCCACAATTCCGTGGGTAGATGGGATTATTCACCATTCTCTGAACATATCCCGACATCTTTACTCCGGTATCTCTTTTTCTTCCTTAAGTGGTCCTTACCTCCAGTTGAAACGTTTTCCTTACTTTGTTAATATTTAGACCTTCAATTCATCCTTCAAGGCCCAGCCAAATACCACCTCCTTTGTGAGGTCCTCTCAATCCTAGTGGGGTAAGAAACTGACTAGTCCATGCTCCCCCCAGTGTTGCTCTTATATGTATGATAATATATCAGACGACTCCACTCATTAGTTCCTATGTCAGTTTCTGTGAGCCTTTCTAGGACAGAGGCCAAAGCTCCATTCTGTATGTCCCCTATACCTAGTACAGGTACCAGATAATATTTGTTGATTTAAAATATCTCTGGGAAGCTTCATTCAGGCGGTATCAGGGTAAGAAGGCTCCTTTCTTCTGTCCTGGACACACCAAGCCTAGTCTTGGTTGTTCCATTCGTATCCTGTCAAGGCTCTGTCTGAGATCCCCGTCTCCTGTATGTTCTGTAGTTAAATACTCGGCTTGTATTTCTTATGTTAGTGAGTATTATTCAAATGTACTAAATGCCTGTATATTCAAAACCTTAGACTTGTTCCTGGTGGTTTGGAAAATCTTCTTACAAATTGGAGCTGGAAAAGCCACTGACTTTCAGGATTTGTTTGGCATTACCAGGTGGAACACGGGAAAAACGCTGGCAGACTCAGAGACTTGATGACACCTCTTCCAAAACATGTGAGTCAGTGCAAACCGCTCAGATTCTCTGAGTCATTCATTATCTGGCCTCAGGATACTACTCAGATATAATCTCCAAAATGCCTCTGTTGGGTCTAATTTTGCATTTTAGTAGTCACTCGATTTAAGATGGTTAGGTCTTTCAAATGTCAATGTTTATTTTAAAAAAATTCTCCTCCCACTTTAAGCTATTCTCCATTACTCTCCAGATGAAGAGTTTATAGGAAAACTTACTGACATTTAAAACTACCCATCCATAATATTTAGGAACACCTTCCCCTCATTCATTTTTAATTTTTATTGTTAAAAACATTCTTCCTTCTTCCTTCTAATTGCCTTATCCCCTTATAGGGACAAAATATCATAGTTATAATCACCATTTTCTTCCTATAATTTTCCTTGGGTTTCAAGCCTCTTAATTGGCTTCTCCATGCTTCTAATTCAGCTTTGGGGTCACAATGAATGTTATATTCACCAATCACTACTGGCTTTTATAGGACCATAAAATGAATGCTCTTATTATCTTAGGTTTTCAAATCACTTTATTTTCTATGTCTTGACCTTGAGATAAGAGATAGTATGCCCTACCAAATAGATCAGAAAATACACACAAATTCCAGTAATCCTTGTATTAAATTAGTAACAGAGCAGGCATTAGTAGTTTTCCACAGTCTCTGTCCTGTTTTTGACCACCAAATTTAGACAATAGCCAATGTGAACTAGGTCATGGGCATCACGAGTCATCCTCTTCCAGCAAAAAACGCATTGGATCAGGATTCAGGAGCAGAGTCCATTCTCAGCATCATTTCTAATTGTGTAGCTACTACAAGCTACATCTCTTTGCGTTTCAACCTCTCATTTTATAACAAATCAACCAACAATAAGGGATGAAAGAATTTGCACACATTCACACAATGCTATGCCAATCTGCAATTTTAGTTTCACTGAAAGTCATATTTCCTATACAAAGAATACATTCCCATATATGGAATATATATAGAAATACACCAAAGATGTGACATTCCAGGAAAACAAAACTAATCAATTTGTTGAATACGAAAAAACTTTGAAAACTTTTTTCCCTCCCTCAAAGGAGAAAGATTTGAGAAATTTAGGAAAATATGAAGATGACTCTGAAAGACTGAAGCAAACAAAGTTATGAGCTGTGAGAGTTATTCATATTTTAATAGCTCTTCGAGAAGATCCAGGAAGAAATACTCAGACCAACTGTGTTAAAAGTGAACAGAGAGGGGGCTGGCTCCGTGGCCGAGTGGTTAAGTTCGCGCGCTCCGCAGCAGGCGGCCCAGTGTTTCGTTAGTTCGAATCCTGGGCGCGGACATGGCACTGCTCATCAGACCACGCTGAGGCAGCGTCCCACATGCCACAACTAGAAGAACCCACAGCGAAGAATACACAACTATGTACTGGGGGGCTTTGGGGAGAAAAAGGAAAAAATAAAATCTTAAAAAAAAAAAAAAGTGAACAGAGAGGTGTAATCATGTCTTTTGAGTTTATTAAAAAATATTCAAAGAAATTCTTCAAACGAGAGCAATGACAGTCAAAGTTCCATTGGGAATAACAAGTTTAAGACACTATATCTGTTAATCTGATAAGGTTAAAAAACACTTTATTCAATGATTTTCCACTTCTAACTCCAGAATTCCATGAAAATGTTCATCAATTTCTACAGCATAATTGTTTTTAGGCTGTGTCATGAAAAATTTTTGTCAACTATTCTTTACCAAAAACAGGAGAGAAAAAAATCAAGGGTTTTTGAGGAATGAAGTAACTTTTCTTTTGCTGATGTCAAAACAAAGAGATCTAAAGAGAAAGCATTTTATTGTCCTGATGTTTTGGGGCTAGAATGGTTCTCTCCCAAGCTGGGGAACTGAGAACATCTTCCTGTGCGCATTCAGAGCTACGGTCTTGGATCAGCCATGCAGGAAATCTGGCCTGTGCCTCTAGCTTCTCTCTACCCAGTTTAGATTCTTTTAGCTTCCTTTGGTATTATCAGAGAAGGTAGTCAAGTCTGGGAACAACACAACAACAGAATTAAAAACAGACTGATTTTTAAGAGGGTAGGAAAGCTTATTTCAAAATAGGCAGTCCTGGATATGGCCTTATAAGATAAAGAAATAAAGCAACAGATGCAGCAACTGACAACAGTGATAGTGTCAAAAAAAAATACAGCATAAGAAGTTTCATCATTGTAATGTTAGCTACCATTACTGAGACCCCACCTATGGGCCAGGTACCAGTTGCTTTACACATGTTGTCTTATTTAGTTCTCTTACAAACCTTCTGGAAAAGCAGGTGTTTTCTCTTCAAATGATGAGGAACCTGAGGGTTAGCCTAGCTTAGGTTTTCTTACCATCCTCTCCAGGGAGGAAATCGGAGGCTCCTCTCCCTCCACTACTCCCAAACGTGGAAGTGCTTTGGGAGTTTGTCCCAGGTCCCTCCACACCCTCTCCCTGGGGCAATTCCATCCACTCACATGGTTTCATTTACCATCTGTATGTAGATGAACCCTGAATCCACAGGTCAGGCCCAGTACTATCTCATGAGCTTCTGAATATACAGGGCTTCTTCTCATACTCAGGCTTCTACAAATAGACAGCAGATTTTCTCAAAAGCCTTTAGGTTCCACTTATTACACATATGTAATCAAACCTAGAAAAGTATGCCCGGTCATTTAGTTTACAGTTATTTTCTGAATAAAATTCCCCTTAAAATGAAACAAGGCAGATTGGCTTAAAACTTTATGGGACTTTTTTCCCCCGAAAGTTGTCAAATATTTAGTAAAGAAATGGGGATCTCTATAGTTTCTTCCTTTTCTTCCCCACTTCTTCCCATCATTTCCTATCCTGGCCACACAATAATCTGGCTTGAACTATTCCATTTTTTTTTTTATTGTGGTGAAATTCACATGACATAAAATTTACCATTTTGACCAGGTTAAAGTACACAATTCAGTGATATTTAGTATATGCTCAATGTTGGGCAACCATCACCACTGTTTAGTTCCAGAACTTTTTATCACCTCAAAAGGAAACTCTGTACCTATTAACAGTCACTCCCCGTTCCCCACTCCACCCAGCCCCTGGCACCTTTAATCTGCTTTCTGCATCAATGGATTTGCCTAGTCTGGATATTTCACATAAGTGGAATCATATAGTATGTGGCTTTTTAAATCTGGCTTCTTTCGCTTAGCATGACGTATAATAAAACAAAAAACGAATGACTTTTCCCGATGCGTGCAATCTACACACCATTGATGTTCAGTTTTTTGATATTTGTGTATATCCACGTATTGAGGACGGAGAAGGAGCTCCAAACCGCACGGGCAGGACCCACGCGGACATGTGGACATCAGGCCAGGGAACAGGGACGCAGGGCAAGGGCTGTGCTGTGGACTCACCACACTTTTAGGTGAAGAATGTGCTCAATGGCACATTGAAAAGTTCAATTTAGCCCAAAGCACATACCATAAATAAAAACTAATAGATGCAATTTGTTAAGTACTTACAATGTTTGAGGAAATTTGTCAGGAACTTCCTTATCTCAGCCCAGCACAACCTTATAAGGCGGGAGCTATTATTGTATTGGTTATATACCCCAGGGCATGAGGAATGCCTGGTACCAGGTCACACCGGTCTAACTGTCAGGCCACCTTTCAGAGTCCCCTCTGCCCGGCTCCAGAGTCCATGCTTTCCATGCCTCTGGGATCTCT